TCTATATAGTTGGGGCCCCATAGGCGATCAGCCTGGTTAGTCAGCTGTTTGCAGTGGGTATGAGTGGGATCCATTCCGGTGAATGGATTTCTTTAGTTCATAAATGACTATGGCTTACGTGGGGGAAATATACTTTTAAAAATATTCTGATGAAAATTATCAAAAGGCGAAGGGTTTTGAAACTGAGTCATCTATATCGGGATGACTGTAAAGTATACTTAACTCATAATTTAATCATTATAAACAAACAGGAAATGTTCACTTGAAAAGTTTATGGTTTCAACTAATCTGTTATTCATTAGCCTTACTAAATATCCATTTCCAATTGAAAACAATTATGGAAAATTCAATTTACAAAGAAATATTAATTCGAATCATCGAATAATTTTCCATCCACTTGCTCTAATATAGAATTATTTTATAATTCTTTCTTCAAAGGGTAAGCTAAACCTAGCTATTTGGATATAGACTTTGAGCACTTGACGTCACAGACCGCAAACTCAACCGCAGAAAAGGTAAGAAAACCAGACCGCAGAGGCTCCTATGCGTTAAATTCCATTTCCATTCATTAACCCATTCATGAGAGTAGTTCGATTTATCAGATTTCGAATGCTGCATTAACGTAAGCAAATCAAAACAAATGTCCGATGCCTGGATAAAGTAGATGAATGCTCGAGGTGTTTTAATCGTCAATTAGCAAGGCAATTTGTATAAATTTATTGCATTATGAAAATTGTTTACAGAAAAGTGAATTTCCATTGAAATCGGCAAAGACAAGTGAATAAATGCCGAACGGATTTTGCTCAGAAATAATGTGTCGCTATTGAGAGAGCGCTAGACTGACAGAGAGAGAAAAAAAAAGAGCCCAAATAGACGATCTTGGCAATGATATATGGGATATAAGTATGCAGCATCTCTCCCTCCATCTGTTTATTCAAAATTATTAATTGAGAAAATGTGTAGAGCAGCCGCCTGTGTGTAAATACATATGTACTTGCGCATCTGATGGATACGAGCCATTTCACAACTCGAGAAAAAGAAAATCCGACGAAGACGACTACGACGATGACTCAACGCAACTCAACTCAATCCGAGCTGCTGCGCTACATTACCTACTTTCAATATTTTGTGTTGACGCCAGCGAGAAATGTAGCCCACAAATAGCAGCCAATTGACAACAGTAAAACATGGCCAAATATGTACCAAGCCGGCACATGACGTAAGCACCTCACGGTAGCAAAAGCTACTGCACAAATAGGCAAAAACCATCCAACAAAAACCGAAGAAACTGAATTCAACCTTGCCGATACCCTGGGTAGCGAGTCTTTTATTGCCATATCGCAGTCATCAATGAGATTTTATTAAATTATTGAAACAAATTGAAAAATTGATTTGACTTTATAAACCCATTCGAATATATTAGTTTATGACTGAACCTCTGATCTTTGAATAATTCGAAATAACTAAAATATACAAATTTCACATCAAAAGTAGAAAAACTTTCAGTTAGTTATTGTTTATTGATTAATAATAAAATTTTGTCTAATTCTAAGATCTAAACTTTTTATTTTAAATAATATATTTACATGAATTCGTTATTTTCAAAGCAGTCCCTTTTGCAGGGTATCGAAAAGCTACACACTGTAGTGCAAAATGAACAGGCTGCGCATGATTTATTAGCAACAGACAGGGACGGACAGCCGCGAAGTTACAACTCGAGTCCATGGCGTCGTCGCACCCACACAACAGAGCCGTAAGCTAAAACGTGATAAGAGGAGAAACTGAAAGAAACTCAACGTAACGTAAGGTGCAACGTAAAGGGGTTCATTCACAAATCGCAATCAGATGAAATTACGATTCATTTGATTTGCAGTCCACATTACATATTTGTATAGTATTTCTGAGTGTGTGTGAATATCGATCAATTAAAAACCAAAAGAACGGCCAAATGTGTTGACCAAATTTGGATTAAAGGAGTGGCAACACAAACATATAAGCACACAATAACGGATATGGTGAATTGGCCAAGGCAAATTTAGTCATCTCTTTCTGCATGAATCAAATACCCACAACAAATGTGTTTCATTCACAATAAGCTTGGGCAAACACACACACACACATGCTAACATAAACTTGTCAATCACTTCGAGTTCCGTTTTCGCACAGTGTGCTTTTGAGTGTGAGTGAGATCAATGCAAAATTGCTCTGCTCTCCTCCGCTCTCAGCACTCTATTTATCCGTTACTTTATTAATAGTCTCCTCTTCCTCACCACGTCTATCTAGCCCTGTCTCCCTTGCGCTCACTCGGCTCCAATTGCACGTGTTGGGGCCGCTGCAGGAACAATAGCAACAACAACAACACAAAAGTCGATGCCGCCGGTGGATTGTGTTGTTGTTGGATTGGATTTTATTTTTGGGTCTTGGTGCTTCTTCTTCTTCGTCGGTTTTTATATTGCCTTTTTTTCTTTATGTCTTTCCGATTTTGGAGCTCGCCATGTGAAAGGAAATAATTACTTTATTTGTTGTTTTTGTGTGTATTGCGTACAGACGAGTTCAAACGAATAATATGCTAGACCAAAATTAACGAAGAAATATTTTAGTATTAAAAGATTTACTATAGTATGTATTATCTAAATAAGTCTTGTCCAAAATCATTTTTTTAAACTCCTATTTTGAGGTTTATTAAATTAAAATGTAATATTTCACGCAAATATTAGTCATAGTATTTAATAAAAATATATTATTACACATACTTTTCGTTTGTTGTTATAAATGTGTGAGCCTGATTGTTGTTATGGCCGTTTGGCTTTGGTTGATTTTGTTGCCTCTTTTAATTTTTCTCTCTCTGTTGCCAGCTGGGCTGCATTTCAAACAATTTTGAAATGTTAAATTGTTTGCAAGCTTTTATTAGCTAATGCTGCTGCCTATATGCCTCTTCTTCTTCGCCACCATATAAACAATAATTAACAGTAAATGAAAATGGGCAGGAAATGCGAGAGGCCGCCGCCTCCGCCGCTTGTAGGTCAAGAAGTGTTTGTCGGATGGGCAAAGGTAAGAGCTAGCCATATCCCCCTAGATGTTGATATTATTCTGGCCACTGTTGCAATGGTTCTATTATGGCAGCCAGGCAGCGGCACATAATGACGCATAATTGCCCCAGACAGAAATCAGAAAGATCGCCAATTGAGAAAGTGAGATCAGTGACAAATTACGGGGGCCATTTGAGCACAGCTTTAAGCGGTCACATCCGTTTTACATACGAGACGAAGCGGGGCAGTAGAAGAATATTAGAAAAATTTGCACATTTAATCAGAGACAATTGTTTAATTGCTAAATTGCAGCAACTAAGTGGTCTACGACAAGGAAATGGGAACGGGACAAGTGCAAAAATGAATATATGGCAAGGGAGGAGGCAGGCTCAGTAACGACTAACATTCCACCTACACATTTTGTATAGTAGTGATAAAACCTTACCTTTTAGTCATAGCATTATGCTATGCAGTCATATTTTTTTGATTTTCATATTTTGTTGTAATCTTGAAATAAATTTTAAACTGGGGAAGTTCTAACTCTTCATTCATTATCTACGTACTTGGCTCTCTGCCTAGAGGCAGGTGAGAGAGCAATACAAAGACAATCGCCAAGTGCAACTCTGGTTATAGTTGTCGTTGTTGTTGTTACTGCTGCACTGCACTTCCTACTAGGAAATTCTTCAGAATTATGTGCAGCAGCAAGAAAAACAACGTTGGCAAGTGTCATTTGAGACAGACACACAGAGCGGCGCACAACAGCAGCTGCTCCCCATTGATGGTGTGGTGTCTGTGTGTGAAAGAGCGGATTTTATTTGAAATTCAAACTCTTTTTATGGTACCCAGTGATTAGAGGGTAGTTGGGGTACCATAAAAGTGTCATTGGGAAGGAAATGGAAATGGAGGGTAGGAATTATGCATCTTGCAATGGCAGTTACGATTTTATTGGAATTTTCAAGAAATTACAAAGGAAGTATATATCCTAAATATAGTTGCTTTAGAATAAAGTAAATAAAGTACTGAGAGTGGTATCAACTTGTCTACTTTGCATGTGGGTTTTTTTCTTCTTTGAAATGCACTAAAAATTTTGAAATCGCAGGCCAACAGCTGGAGAACTATAAACCACTTTTGGGAAATGGTAAAGTGGTGAAGTGTCCTCTCTGAGAAGGAAGTTTTTTCCATCTTTGCCAGCCCCGCCTTTTATTATTGCGGTCCCCAAAAAAAGGGGAAAACTCCAGGATGAACTTTTGTGCTCAATTTGGTATTTGCCAAAAAGTTCCGGAAATTGCTGGCAACTGTCGGCGGTCGCCATAACGTCGGCATTATATACATATGCATATATGTAGCTCTCCAATACCCAATCCCTTTCTATATGGAAAATCAACCTGACTCACAAGCGCAATGGGCGAAAATTACATAATGGTTCGGACGAATGGGAGCACACAGCACAATTTTCAATCGAAAATTGTGCCAAATTGCAACTGCAGAATGATAATGAGATAATGATTTATTTTTCTCCCATTTGGACCACATTTTTCAGATGTTCTTCCCAACGACTTGGAATCTGGAATCAGCGGGCGGCCAATTTTGCTCAATTTTCGCTGTTCTCAACGCATTAGTATGTCTGAGTGTGTGTGCGCCCAATTTTCTTTTCTCCGGCCGGGAAAACATTTCAATTCTTATTTTTTTCGGGTTTTCTCGGCCCACCAACAGCGGCATTCTCTAGTTTTCCTTTTCCATGGGTTTCCCTCAGGGGTTTTTCAGCTACCTGCGAATACCTGAGGCGTGGGAATTGCCGAATGAAGAGGAGGAAAAACGGGAGGATCGCAATTGCAGGACGTGTGAAAATGTGCGGAAGGCGACAGGAAACGTCGTGGGCATGACCGGACCCCTCGCCGACTTCCCAGATTTCCCGGAACGGCCTTGGCCAATGGGAAAAGCTACACATTTCAATTTGCAGTTTGAACTCACCTTTTGCGGCGGTTCCGTATCCAAAGGAAAATTATGAAGAATGTTGATGTTCGCAAAATTCGCAGCTCCAAATCTCCGGATGAGTGAATTGTACACAAGCACGCACTTTTCTTGTTGTTTTCGATTTTTCACGGGCTGATTGATGCAAGTCGGGGATACATTTTCGCACTTTTCGTGTTAACGTTTATTTTGTGTATTTTACTTTTTGAACATTTATTTTGCACACAATTATTTATTAAATGCCGCACACAGTCACAGACACCACCGACATCGACAAGTGTGTTGTTTACGCACGAGTGTGTGTGAGTAGAGCACGCCTCGCACACTACGACAAATATTCATTCACGATACGGTGATCACGGTGAGTATATGAAGACGATCTGTGCTCTCGCTCTCACATCCATGTCTGCTTCGCCTTCTTGTGCTGTTGTTGTTGTTGTTGTGGTTGTTGAAAATCCAAGAGAAAAATAATACTATATGAAATGAATGCGACCACAAAGCAAAGACGCACAAAGTTATTAACACGAACGGAATACAAGTGTGTTTGTTTCAGTTACTGCTGCTGCTGCTCTCGTTGTATATTTATTTGATTCCATATTCATATTTCGCCCATGATTTTCTACCTGTGTTTAGTTTGGACGGACGGAAAAACAACACACGAACGCACGCACACACACACACGCACGCACCACGAAACGAGACGTAAAGGTAGAGTGGTAAAGTGTGTGCAAGAAAAAAACGAAACGGAACGGAACCAACGGAACCCGTATATATGCACGCGCTGGGCTCGATTCAATGGCGATAAAACTGCACTCTCTGGCCGGGTTTTCGCTGTTCCCGGTGATTTTCTCCCCGAATGCTGCTTGTGGGGTTTGGCTTTTCCGGTGGCTGCGGTGCCAATTGCTGCCGAATTTTCAGTTTTCAGACCTTTCGCGTTGTTGCTGTTTGCTGTGTTGCACGACTGAATATTGTAGGTGTTGAAAAAACAGTGGGGCCAGATGATGGAATTTAAACGGTGTGACCAACTGTTAAAAAGGTGTGGCCAGACTTTTCGTGCACGAGCGACCAAAAGTACCAGATCGGGCGCATGTAAAATGTAAAATTGTGTAAAATATCGGGCTGAGAAAAGCGATAGTTAGAGAAGTGTGCCCAAATGAATGTTAGCTTTTACATTAAAAAATCCCAAACATTTTCACCTAAAAAATCCAGTACGGCACTTGAAAACAGTTATTACAAATCTTTTTAAATTTTGTAACAAAAGCTTAAAATATTGGCACAGCAATTGCTTTAATGTGTTGCCTTCATTGAATACTTCAGTTAAAAATATTTTTTAAAAATCAGCTTTTTTTTTAGGTTTCTCCCGTTAGAATTAGGCTTTTTTAGCTTTTTGGGTAATCAAGCTTTTTTGCTCAGACATCAGAGTGACCAAGGAGAAAATATCAAAAAATATCGAATAAACATCGCGATTTCGATATTTGGGCAAAAAATATCGTTATATTTAGGTTTTGAAACACGCCAGATATAGTGGGAAAATAGCTAATTGGCAACACTGGACATCACTGTCACTCCATTGGTTCGCTCTCGAACACTCTACATTCTACACGAGAATTCGACCCCAAGCATGTAAAACTTTGTTTTGACATTTTACTTTGAAGTTCAGAGTGACCAAGGGGAAAACACCGAAAAATATCAAACAACAATATCGCAATTTCGATATTTGGGCAAAAAATATTGGTTCGGTCGGACGCGCGTCGCTGGTGCTCGGAATAAATCCGATTATGAATTAAACCATCGCGAAACCACTGTCTGGTAGAAGTTAGTAACAGTCTACAGCCAAGCACGCGATCGGCGGAACCAAACAACCGACATGGCAGAGCCAGCAGCAGCCGAACCGAAGGCTTTTGGCAACGGAAGTGCGGGTGGCGCGGCGGGAATCGCCGAGTCCGCCAGTGCGGTGTTCGAGGAGAAGATGAAGCTCCAGCTGGAGGATGTCAACGAGGTGACGGCGGTGCCGCGCTATGGCCTGAAGCTGAAGTTCGATCATGTGTGGCCGGAGCGGAGGATACAGAACGTCAGGGCCTCCTTGAAGCAAACGCTGCCCATGGTGCCGCTGGTGTGCAGGTGGGATAACTTTACATCTCTTGAAAAAAATCAAAGGTTGTATTAGCCAGGAACTAACTAATACTTGGAGTTATGACTTAAAAGTTTTAGTGTAGGAATTTCAATTCGACCTGTCAGAATTTTTAACTTAAATTAAGTACTATCCCAATTATCAGGATAGAATTCATAAAAGATTAACCAGAGCAGTAGTAGCCTGGTTATTATTTTGCAATTATAATTTTAATAACAGAATACTTTAGCCAATTAAAAACACAGCCCTCTAAAGGTATTTTTACCAGAGACTGATGCTGGGGTAGGGACACTTTATACATAATTAATCAAGGCACAATAATGTGAAATCAATAACTGGGCTTAATAATACCCCAACAGGAATGACATCGAGCCCTTCACCCTCAACCTCTTTGTATATCTCTCGTGCGTGCCAAATATAGCGCCAGGTCCTGGCCAATACACACACGAGTAGGTGGCCCCACTCATAAATTGAATTCTTTTGTGGTCTCCGTTGCCAGCTAAATGACATTAAAACCGACAGCGGTAAAGGCTCAGAGGACACTTACACGCCAGGAATTATTGGGCCCCACTCATAAATTGAATTCTTTTGTGGTCTCCGTTGCCAGCTAAATGACATTAAAACCGACAGCGGTAAAGGCTCAGAGGACACTTACACGCCAGGAATTATTCTAAGAGGAGGCATTATGTCGGTAATTAATTAATAATTAAAAGAAAACAGAATTGAGCGTAAAGATAATGTATTTAATGCAACGCTTTACAAAGTCGTAAAGAATATTGAAAAACCTATTTGTACTTATGCATAGTAGCTCAAAGAAATAGCTTATTAGCACTTCTATCCGTTTTTAAAGACCCAACCATTCCCTTTACAAAATGTAGTCCGTCATAACCCGAACTTTATGCTGTAGCGCTTTTTGTGTGAACAAAAAATAATCCCGTACAGCTCGGCGCCACAATGTTTCTGTTCTTGTGGGTAGCTCCACCATTCGTAGTCCTACTCCACCGATGTCTGCCCGCAATGGCGCCGTGTTGGGCGTTCTGTTTGCGTGTCCTGGCCACATTTTCGGAGCTCCAAAAGAAAAGAACTCACAGGCACACATACATATAACCGGTGGTACTTTTTTGTAGCTCCCCTTTTTAATAGTTACAAACTGACATTGCTTTGACTGGCTTTGAGCTGTACCCGCGTATTTAGCATAGAATCACAGCATTCACTGACCTCACAAGCGACCCATATTACAATTGATTAAGAGTTCTATGAACCTGTGGCCCAGCACTTGCTCTAATTTCACAAAATAAGTCACTATTTATTCAGCTTTTAAAAGCACAAGATCAATAAATTAAAGGACTTAACCATGTCCAAACGATGACTAACTGCGGCAGGAATTCAAGTGACGTGTAGCTTTAAAATTGTCCCACGCTTTGCTGATATTGACAATAGATATATTAAACAAATTACATTTATCAACCTCTTTATTAGTTCAAATATAAATATATTGAACACCATCGAAACTTTTAAATGATTTAAAAATATATTAGAGTATACACTAAAGTGTCGCAATATTTCTATAATCTGCGATTAGCCATGAAACTAGCTTTAATTTAAAAACTTTTAATTGAATAGCATACTAACCGCTTTAGAGATTGATTATGAGTCGTGAATCATTACTATATACATACTTCACTCTTTCTTATCAAAAAGTATTTTTTAATGTTCACTTTTGGTCTCTGTGACGTTGCACAATATTTATATTTACCCCTAAGGTACATAGATAAGAAAGCTAGCTAGAATAAAGAGTCGTAAAATATTTCAGCTGTTACTACCGACATAGGCATTAACCAAAGCTGATATAGCCTTTATCACAGCATAAAATGTGTGAAGTCATGGTGGTCATGGCAAATTGGGGTAACTATATGTATATTTTTTATCAAGCCTGTTCATTTCCATGGCATGATTTAAGACAAGGTCTGGGTGGTGGGCTTGACTGCCCGACATAAATCGCCAAAACCATGCCCAAAACTGACCTATGACAAAGTTGATTAACTCTTGTACTTTTGAGAGCTGTCTGCCAGAAGTTATTTATATTATTCAGAATTTACTATAGGAAATGGTCGATTAAAAGCTTTTCGTCTATCAATATCTCAATCAACTATAAAATTTTCTTAACGTGCATCTTTGACCCAAAAAGTAGATAGACCCAACTGGAAAATCGTTACAGATTTAATCTAAAGCTGACATTGATCAGCGAGGCCTTTCTGTTCCACTGTAACCCCATGCTCGAGTTCAATGGACGACACAGTTTCAGCCACTTCCTCTTTCCTTATTGCCAGCCATTTTCACACTATTGAAGTCCAGGCCAACAGCTTCTTACCCCCGTATCAAGTTGTGTGGGCTTAACGGAGGGACTGGCCACCATCCAGGTCCTACTCGGGATCCACCACCCAGCGCCTGTCTGTCAAACATCAAATATTTTTGGCAAGCTCCCAAGAAGACTTGTACACACACACACTCCCAACATATATGTATCTTTGGAGCATCTTTAGTCAGTTTCCAGTGCATTTAAAAACAAATCTGCGAATAGCTCTGGACTCCACCGAGTCCTACCACATTTTATTTTCTTTTTTCGTTCTCTCTCTCATAACACATATGTGTATGCCCATCCAGGCAGAGCACTTTTCGTTATTGGTTTTTATTTACAAACTGCAACTTTGGTGGAAAGATGGAAATCTTGTATATGTCGTTATAAAAAATGAATTTCCTCCAGGGAAAATGTCTACTCTCTCTCTCTCTTTGGTCTTTTATTTGTGCTTTATTTTCAAATCGACAACGAAAATGTCAGTTCATTTTCTTTTTGTTGACAATACGTGACTTTAAATTGGATGTACAATACACAGGGGATTTTATATTTTTAGATGGTTCCAATGGGGTTCTTTTTTAATATGAACAAATTTAAGAATAAACTATGGATAGTTTCTTTTTCAATGCAAAGTCTTGCTCTTAATTTTGTGGCAAAGCATAGAGAATGAAAAATGTATATTTATAAAAGTTCTTTAACACAAAATGTCACCCTACTGCAAACAAACTTCTGACCTGACGTTAAGACAGGTACACCAATAAGTTTATATATATATACTGGTAAATAGACGACGTCAGCCAACTTCCTTTACAAAAGTAACTTGTGGCCCCGTCCTAACCCAATGTTCTCCTTCTTCGGCGCCTTCCCTTGACCCACACTGACCCGGGCAAACTTTTCTTTAACAATTTTACAGTTTGCGGGAAACATAAAAGTTTGAGGAATTCCTTTTGGGTTTTATTATAAAGGCTATAATTGAAAATATTATAGTTGAAATCATGATACAATTATACAAAGGAATCCCGTCGGAAAAATAAGCCCTAGTTCGGCTTATCAAAGTGTGACTGGAACAAATTTTGTACACAAAAAGCTATCAAAATAAGCCCTAAATCCGAACGATTTGACCCCAACGGGTTAGGTTGATTCAGCTGTTAGGCCTTGCCTTACCCGTCATCTTCTAAAAATCAGTCGAGCGCGCCCTGCTCCCGGGGAGTTTTGAATCTCCACTCAGTTTCAGTTAATATATTCATTCAAATATCGTTGTGTGCGCATTTGTCGATTTGAAGATAACCCAACCCGCCCGCTGAGCACCAATCCTCTCCACGCAGACGCGATTGAGAAAGAATGAACCGCCACGAGGGCGTCGTCTGCAGCGGATGCGGAAAGGTGGAGTTCACGGGCAGGTGCTACCGTTGCCTGAGTTGCCGTGACCTGGCCATTTGTGCGGATTGCTACGACATTGACTTCACCACCGCCGACCATCCCTTTGACCATCCGGTCAAGTGTGTCTACACGCCGTCGGATGTGGAGCTGTATTTTGGCGGGGAGTACATCACTAGCGATCCGCCGCAGAGCTACCGCTGCCCGTACTGCAAGCAGTGGGGCTTCAACGAGTCCACATTTCTGGAGCATGTTTCGGCGCAGCATCCGGGTGCCAGTCCACTGCTGGTGTCCACAATGATCACGCTCTTTGAGCAGCAGCAGGCGGCCCGCCTTTTCCTGGAGGACGAGCAGCTGGCCTCCATCTCGGCGGCGGCGGTTTCGCGCAACGAGCAGATGCGCCGCTCAGTAGGCTCTCTCGATCTTTTCTTGGAACAGCTAAATCCAGATGGCAGTTACCTTCGAGCCGGACAGTCAGTGGGTACTCAGGCGGTCAGGGGCAATGAGGTGGCCAGAGAACGGTCCAACCGCCTGAGACGCTCGGCTGGTCCACCAGCAAGCAGAGGCAGGCCGCACAGTATCCCCCTCATAAGGGCAGCTCTTCCGCCCCCGGCATCAGGAACGAATCCCTCCATTCCACCCGCCATCAGTATCAGTAGTCCGAACTCCAGTTCGCTGGGCTCCGAGACATCCAACCGTCGCCAGGAGGTGATGGCGCCGCGCTATATAATCACAGAGTCTGGGCACTCCCGGCTGAATTTCGTGGTGGCCGGGATGGAGGTGCCAACTACGCTGCGTGCAGCTGCCCAGCAGGTCGTCGCCTCCTCGGCACAACCTTCAACATCAACAGCGAGCTCGCCGCTCATTACACATCCCACGATGACTGAGATGATGCGCTTCTACGGCGGCAATCTATCAATGCCGCACGAAATGAATCCCCCCGCCAGCCGAGCCAACCGTTCCAGACAGAGATCTGTGCCCTGGCTGCAGCCCGCAGGTGCAGATCCCTCGGCTTCCACAGCGGGAACCGGTCGAGGCGTCAATATTTTCGGCCCTGTTTCCCACTTGAACCAGTCGCCAAACTTGGCCAATAGTATTCATATGACCCCTAGTTCGCGACATCCACGTGAGACAAGACACCGAACATCTAGGATGCTGCCGAACGTCCCAGGTAATAATAGTGGCGGACTAAGCCTGCAACTGCTGGCACCCTCCACTCATTCCCGGACTTTGGCAGTTCGCTCTGTGAACTTCAGTGACCAACGGATGGAGGATAGCGAGATGCTCAACCTAAATCTGAGTTCCACCGAGACGGCGCTTCGCTCGTTAAATATCAAACCGGCAACGGAGGCCAAGGAAAGCGACAAGGAGCGCGAGCGCTTCCTGTGCTACCGCTTTCTGAAGTCCAGCCCGTCGCAGCCGGCCGACGAGCAGGCTGCTTTTCTGGAGCAACGCGCCGAGTTCGTCGCCCAGCTGATCTCATCCGCCTTGTGTGACGATGAGCTCCAGGAATCGCTTTCTTCGGAGTTGACCCTGAAGTTACCCACAATATCGAGCAGCGACAAAGCAGGCGCCGGGGATGCCGAGAAGATCCCTCCACTGTGATCGACGCTAACTGTTTTGTGTACCCTTCTTCTTATACCTTTTTTATGGTTTAAATTATCTGTTAAAATTGAGAAATAATTGGAAGCCAGTAAATTGATGGCGTTGTTGATTAAGGAAGCCTAACCTGTGAGCAGGATTAATAGATATGAGAATGATAAGTGGTTATCAAAGTCTGTTCTTTGTTTTCGATCGATGCCTTGATTATATTGGGAAAGCTTCTTAAAAAGCCAAGAGTATAAGGGGAAAATAATGGACAAAGACATTTTTGGTTAACGGTTTCCAACATCTCAAGACGCATTTTTTTTATATATTAGTAAAAGTCTAGTTTTTGTTCATCACTTCCGTATAGATGGCCACAATTTGTTCCCATCCCCCTTCTTGAGCTTTGCTGTTTTGCACTTGACTTTGGCAACTGAGACACTCGCTGACCTTCAAAGACGGCCCATCATCACCCCAGTAGAGGGAATACGAAAAGCTAAGCAGTCAGACGACCCCACAAAATGTGCTCAGTGCGTGTACAAGTCAGGCCCGGGCAGAAAACTAGGGGTGCTTGACATGACATCATCGGGGTCAGGCGCTTAGGCAATTGAATGGGAGGGAAATGGTAAAGGAAACGTGAATTGGGGAAAACATTAGCCAACTAAAATCAGATTTTTCATTCCCTTGCTCTTGGTCTCTATTTCCTTTACGACAGATATGCGGCCTACTACTGGAAAGTGTCGCGTGAAGGTCGCCGGGTGTACATGGACTACTACTACATGGAAAATGGCAAGCAGATCTATGGAGTACCCATCGGCGGGATTGGTGGTGGAACCATTGGTCGAGGCTATGCCGGCGAGTTCTGTCGCTTCCAGATGCGTCCTGGCATCTACGAGTACAATGTGGTCCAGGCCAATCAGTTTATTGTGACTATTAAGGACCACAAGGGATGCACCATCTTTCAAAGTCTGCTATCCAAGTGCAGGTGAGTCAACGAAAGTAGTCTGTATTCCATTCAATCACCATTTATACTATCCTTTAAAGCAAATATTCAGATTTGTGTTGTTTGCATGCTTTTGAATAACATTTTTAATTTGTTTCGCCACCACGCCAATTTGCTTTGTTTTTAAGTAGCTTGGCCACAGCTAGGATTTAAGTTTTATTTGTCAGTTTTCTATATTGATGAGGCGAATGACTAGAATAATCTGCCATATGGATCAACGAACCCTGAGCTTATCGCGTGCAAATTATTCGGGCCATTTAACACTCGGTTCATTTTAGTTTATGTCATACTTCATGGCTGTCTTATTAGCTGGAAATAATAGAGGCAGGTCAGACCCACTTTGGAATTAAATAGGTGGGAAGAGGGCAGATATCACAGTTATATTTTAAAGCCTTAAGCTTAGATCAGTCAATGAAAGTCAGTCATTAACCAGACTAAATTTACGGGCCAATTATATGATAAATCAGTGCAGACCACTTTTTTCTAGGCATACTTATAGTACTTACAGTAATGTCTTAGGCATTACCTCATTGTTTTCCCTGTACTGTCCATAAACCTATCTTGTAAATACTTAAAAACTTCCTAACACATCCCCTTTTGGGTAGCATTTCCTACCTGTAACACTCCACATTTGTACAAATCCGTAACTCTACTTCAACTTATAAAATGTGATACTTCATTGAACACTAACAAACCGAAATCCCTGCAAAACACAGCCATTCCAAGAGCACTAAAACTAAATTCAAATCAAAACAGATCATATTTTTTCAAAAACAAAAATATTTTTCTCTCATTTTCGATGCACACATCAATTGAATTATTAAACACGCAACTCTTATCGTGAAAACACCGATACCACTTGGATATGTTTGCATACGAACCACCGATTCCGTTTCGGGGTTATTTTGACGACGATCGTTTGGTATGGTATGGTCTTTCTTTGGCTTTCTTGGGCTTGCACTTTGGTTCCGATTTGGTTTTACTTTCTTGCTTTGCCACATCTGCCATCACACACCACACCCATCTAGCAGAGGCAACAGCAACGGCAGCGATCCGGATGGATCCGATGGTGAGAAAACTAAATGTCAACTGCCCAATTGCAGCAGTCGCACCAAGCAGCCGCTGAATGCCTGGCACTCCAACATCGAGGACTCTCGTTGTAGCTATACGGGACTCTATCCGCGCTCTTGGACCGAGTACGATCTATCCCACTATGGGGTGCGTCTGACCTGTAGACAAGTGTCGCCAGTCATTCCCCACGAGTACCGGGAGTCTAGCCTGCCCTGCGCCGTTTTTGTTTGGAGTGCAGAGAACGTGGGCGATCAGGAGCGAAAGGTGTCCATTACGTTTACCTTTAAGAACGGAACTGGAAACAAAAAACAGGATGCCGAGGGCGGAGCCGAGAGTCAACTAATCAGCGAGGGCAACGCCAAGGGAGTAGCCATCAGGCAAAAGATCGCCGACATGGCCTGCAGCTATAACCTAGCTTGTCGAGTCCTTCCCGAGATTAGCATTACCCGCTGTCCTCAGTTCGATCCAGCCGGCAATGGAGAGCAGCTGTGGGCCCAGCTCAAGGAGCATGGACAGCTCAGCGAGCAACCCACCACGGAGACCCTGAAGAGTTAGTAATTTTGATTTTAAAGGGTTATTATTATTAATATATATTTCTTACACTTACAGCCAAAGATATTGGTGTGGCTGTTTGCGCTCAGGTGGCCCTTAAGCCGAAGGCATCGCATGAGCTAGAGTTTGTGCTGGCCTGGGACATGCCAAAGATACAGTTCCCCCGAAAGATGCAAACGCACACTCGCTACTACACCAAATACTTTGATGATAGCGGCGAGTCTGGGCCAAAGATCTGCGACCATGCCCTCAAGAACTATGCCAGTTGGGAGCGATTAATAGACGCCTGGCAGCGACCTATTCTCAATGATGAGTGCGTCTTAACTAGGGCTTATTTTCAATGAGTAATTCCTAATCCAAATCTTATTCCAGGACCTTGCCCGACTGGTACAAATGCGCTATTTTCAACCAATTGTATTTCATCTCCGATGGCGGCACAATCTGGCTGAAGTGCGACTCCTCGCTGGGCAAAGAGTTGGCCTACGATGATCCCCGGTTGGCCTATGGCCGTTTTGGTTATCTAGAGGGCCATGAGTACCGCATGTACAACACCTACGATGTGCACTTTTATGCTTCGCCAGCGCTTGCCCATCTCTGGCCCAATTTACAGGTCAGTTTGCAGTACGATTTCAAGGATGCCATAGCCGCAGAGCTGAGCGACACCCGGAAGATGCTGTACGATGGCAAAGTGATGCCGCGAAAGGTTAAGAACTGTGTACCCCACGATCTGGGTGATCCGGATGAGGGTGAGGAGTTACTTATGTCTAAAAAATCTCAGCTTTACCTAGTTTTTTTTTTATATCACAGAACCCTTCACACTCATCAACTGCTACAACATTCACGATGTCAACGATTGGAAGGATCTCAATACAAAGTTTGTTTTGCAAGTCTACAGGGACTACTATGTCCTCAATGAACTGGCCCAGGCACAGGCCGATAATGCCAGCAAGTTCAGCTCCATTGAGTTTATAGACAAGGAAAGCTTGTATGAGATGTACAGCCAGGACAACAAGCGCAAAAACTCGTCGGATGAGAAGCAGCGTAAGTAGTAAATCCTAGTAAACTTAACTATTAAACCATCATCTTGTGGTTCTATTTAGAAAACCGCAAATCTGCATCCATGTACATCAACGAAACCAATGGCAAGGTCTACCTAATGGATGCCATGGGCTATTTAAAAGCCATGTACGGTCCCTGCAAGGCCATCATGGAGCGAACCATTGAGTACGACAAGGACAACGATGGCCTAATAGAGAACACCAAGATGCCAGACCAGACCTACGACTCATGGGTAATGGATGGGCCCAGTGCATATTGCTCGGGCCTCTGGCTAGCCGCTCTGCAGGCCATGTCGGCCATGGCCACCATTCTCGACCAGCCGAACGATTGCCTGCGGTATCAGGATATTCTCGAGAAGGGCAAGCGATCGATGGAGGAGAAGCTCTGGAATGGCAGCTACTATCGTTTCGATCTGTCGCACGGCCATCGGGACACCATTATGGCGGATCAGTTGTGCGGCCACTGGTATTTAAAGTCCTGCGGCTTTGACTACGAGATCTACCCGAAGGAGAATGTGCGCACGGCCCTCAAGAGGATCTACGATAACAATGTGATGGGATTTCACGATGGCAACATTGGTGCGGCCAATGGCTTTATAGCCAACTCCACGGAGCCCACCAAGCCTGGCCATGTGGACGGCAGCAACATCCAGGCCGAGGAGGTGTGGCCAGGTGTGGTTTATGCTTTGGCAGCCACCATGATCCAGGAGGGCATGTTCGAGGAGGCCTTCCAGACGGCCGGCGGCATGTACAAGACCATTTCCGAGCGCATCGGCATGAACTTTGAGACCCCGGAAGCCCTGTATGGCGAGAAGCGCTATCGTTCCATCGGCTACATGCGACCCTTAAGCATCTGGTCGATGCAGGTGGCGCTGGAGAGGCGGCGCTCCCAGCGCGACTAAGTCGAAAGTACAATCAATCTAATCCAAAGTCTATTCATTGTGTGCTATACATACAACCAAAGATATTTATAAGCCAGCACAAGGATGTTTTTAGCTTCTAGTTTAGGTGGAAGGAGGAGTATTCGAGCTTATTGGAGAGAAGAGGTGCGGGTGCGAGTGTTGATTTTATGTTTATGTTCACCAAGTCTTCGCTGCCTTCAAGGACAGTCACAAAACAAACAGCTTTTTCTCTGTTGAAGTACAACTACGCAATGGTATTCGAAACGGAGCACAATTCGTATTTAAATGTTAGCTAAGTGAAATATTTAAATCAATTATATCTACATTAATTAATTATTTATGTCTAATAAATGTATTCCAATGTGTGCAAGCAATTGCTTTCTGTAATAAATGTGACCAAAGAGTCGGAAAATCATAAATTTAAGAATAATTCGTTGAGATCCTTGGTGGAAAATTCTCTGGCATACATTTTATTCAATGCAAACACTTAAATATAACATCAACATACTGAGCCATCAACTTCCAGAACCCATCTCTTTATCTTACAGCCCAGAAACAACTTCTGGATCTCTGGCATGGCTTACCCAATGCTGTAGGAACTTATCATACTCCCTCTTGCTGCGACAGATGATGACAAGGGACGAGGGTCGACAGCCATGGGACTTCAGCTCCTCTATTCGTTTCTTGGTGGTCTTAAGGCTATGGCACAGAACACGAGGCACTTGGGCCACCTCGAATCTCGTAAATTGGGCCTCATCAATCAGATAGTCGATCACCTCCTTGATCTAAGGGACACAGTCAACATTTGTGAGATTTCATTAAACTCAAAGACTCACCTTTGTCACCCGCACGGTATGCACCTGCGGATGCCTGTCCATAATCCCCTTAGCCTCGCTGACAGTAAAGCCCAGCCGATGCGCCACATACTCCACCACCGAGGAGAATTTGCCCAGCACTTGCAGCTCGTCCAGGGACAACTTCAGCGAACGCTGTAATATGGGCTCTGGGCAGCGCACCATCCATGGCATAATCTTGTCTTTTTTGGCCCGCTTCGCGCGCTCCAGCCGCAACTGCACAGCCTTGGGAGTGTAGCGAAAGGCCCAAAGATCCTTCAGGATGTTAATCGGCGACACATTGTACTCAATCATGTGATGGAGGTTCTTCTCGAACATTTCGTACGGCATCTCCAGTATAAAGAGTCGCTTCGAGAGGTATTTGGCCACGAGATCGGGACTGACTTCCAGCTTGTCGCTGATGTAGTAGACGCGGTTCCTCTGCGGCATCGCGCTCCTCTCCGAGTTCAGACCGCTGACCAGCTTACGCAGGCGTGGCACAGTGAGGCGCAGGAAAGGCACGAAATGGTTGATATCCGTGATATCCATTGACTTGATCAGCTGCAACTTTAGCTCCAGGCGTTCTGCAAAGGCATTAATGAGTTTATTGACCGAAAAAAATACACCCAATGTGAACACTCACTGCTGTCCTGGCCTATTATCCAGGGATATTCAACCAAACTGCGCCTGCTAACCCCTTCCGCATGCAGCGTGTCCAATGTCAAGGCCAGGGAGCGTCCGCGGTAGTTGCGATACACCACATCGTCGGTCATGATCCGCTTTAGCTCTGCGTCCGAGAAGCGGAAGCGTTCCCGCAGCAATTCAACCAGGACGCTGGCCTTGGTGCCCGTCTCCAGCTCTGGCCGATACGGCACATACTCGTTGTCGGTCTCGCTGCCGCCAGGCGCCGTCGTCGCACCCGTCAACAGAGACTTCCTTGGAACGGCATGGCTTTCAATCTGGGAAAAGAGCGAGCGTCTGAAGCAGAGACGCGGGCCTGCGTTGGCATTCAACGGCCTATTCAACTGGAAGGCCGTCTCCAAGCTGCGCACGAGACTTCGCAACATTTCAAGCGGTTAAAACATTAATTTGTTATTTCTTATAAAACAATTTTGTCGAAAAACCGGCGTAGTAAGGGCGCTGCCAACTTGTTGCACTCTACAATCAGCTGACTGGTGTTGACAACTCAAAGCTGACATATACGACACTAAAACAAGAAAGGAAGCTAACTGCGGGAAGCCGAAGTTTGTATACCCTTACATTTAGAGTAATTGCAACAGGAGACCAAATTTTTTACATTTTACTAAAATCTGCACCTTTGTGTTCTAAAATTTCATGCTAACAGGAGCTTATATTTTCTAAAATTTAGCCCACACTTCATATAACAGGTTTTAGATAAATAAATGTCCATCAAATATAAGAAATCCTTAGCGCATTCTCTCTAACGTTGACTTTATTTTTCAAAAATACTTAGCTCCAATTGTAATCGGAACATTTAGGGTAAACTTTCGTTTTTTTTTTTTTTATCACAAGCACAGAGAAAAGATCCTATGGCTCCTCGACATCGATGTCCTTGGTCACGCGACCCACCCAGTAGACGAAGCTGCTCTGGACCACGGTGGCCATAAACTTGACGTTTCCCTTGTAACCTGCTGGCGGCAGCCACTCAAAAGTGAGCTGCGTCAAGGGACTCTCCTTATTGACCTTCCGATGGGTAAGGGTGTTGGCATTGCCTGAGCAGCTCAGGGTCTGAGAGTGATCGGCGTCCACCACTTGGAACTGACCGACCACGCGATTCTGGCCGTCGCGCGCTTGGATCATGAAGCCAAGGAATTCATCACCGCCCAGAGTCAACTTGAGTTTCTCGCCAGAGCGTACATGGGATGGTCCGGACAAGCTATACGGGGGCTTAATGGTCTGCAGCTTGGCGCCGTGCTGGGGCGTCAAATCCGGGCATGCGGTCTTGGGGGCACCGTCCGAGTAGGCGTGGACACTGATGGCCAGGCAGGCGGCAATCACCAGAAGACGGAACATGGCTGCTGAAAGATATCGTTATTAATTGAAATCGTTCCAACAAGAAGTTTATTTTAAAAATTGGTTTTACATTTCTGATAACTAAAATATTCATATTTAATAAACTAAAAATTATTTACAAGAATTAAGGTTTATTTAAATTAATTAACAAGAAAATTGCACTGATTTCTATCAAAATAAAGTATAAAGAAAAGAAGAGCACATTTCAAAGATATGTAAGTTCGTTTACAATATTGTAAAAATCATTTTATTGTTGTATTTCCTTCTCACTTATAATTTGAAATATTGTTTTAGAATTATTTTCAATTTCTGAATTAATAATCACAATTTATTAATGCGATAACATCATTAAAACTATAGCGTGCAAGTCTTAAAAGCCTTTTCTCAACCTTTATTAGTGTGATTTTTTTAATTGATATTACTAGTTTTCCATAAATTAATTAATTAGCATTTGCAGTGAAGTGAGACGAAATCACTGGCCTTGACTTGTGTTAAAGTTTTTTCTTACTACATAAACGTTTACCTAGGTAGTTACATTTTAAAAACCAGCTCTTAATTATGCAGCTTGTCAACCCCAGCTTGTTTATACATACATTGTGTTATCTATGACATTACACAGCAGTTTGCATTTCTCGAGATTCAAGATTAGGCCTTAATTTTTAACCTCAAGGTCAGCAGCTACCTAAAGATGTCTCTTCAAATTAAAAATTTGTAAATTAGCGTGGGCTAAATCAACATTTCAATCACGCTTTGCCCATAAATCTTCAGGTTCTTCGAAATAAAATAAAACCGACTTTTTGCAATTATAAAATGGCCAAGTTGCATATTGATTAAATCCAATTTTTTCCGAAATAATCAAACTGGTTTTTGGCCATGAACGAAAACCGTATAAAACCCAAACGAGTTTTCAGTATACTTTCCTAGAAGAGTGATTTTATTATTATTTTTTGTTTTTATTCTGTCCATTAGCATTTCGATTAGGATCGAGTGTAATAATGTGTGCGACAATTAAACCAAAACGTGCCGAAAAATAGGGCTAAGTACTTCCTTAAACGCACTTCAGCTTCAGGTTCAAGGTGGATGGAGGTTGAGTACCGATCGGATTGATCGTCGACCTCCTCCACTTTTTGTCACAGGCGCTCCGTAGAGACCTTGTCCAAGCCTAAAGACAAGCCTCGCGTTGTCTTGCAATATGCTAAAGTTCAGACGTTTGACAGGGGCCCGGTGTCTGCGCCAAGTCGCGCTTCATTATTTTTCTTATTTTTTATTTTGTCTCTTTTATCTGTGTATTTCTGGGCCTGTGTACAACCGGTTGCCAGACTCTTTAGATATAATCCCAATAGTTTTTAAATCTCTTTGTGTATTTCTGTGTATGTCATTACGCCCATCTGTAGGCCTCAATTAGCCTGCTTTTGTAATGGCGTGGAAAATATTGTTATTATCAAGTTGATGGGTAGGAGTCGCTGAAGCTTGAAGTTCCCATTCTATTTAGAGATGTTTTGTTAAAGTCTTGCGAGGCTTTGTTAACATAGTTAACAGTTAATTAACTTAAATATATAGAATCAAAATTGAAAGGTTCTCTAAAGATGGATAAAGGAGCTCCAAGAGCAAGATCTTTAGCTGTGAAAAAATACTCTACAAAACAACCAATTTTTCTCCTATACGAGTAAAACTTTGAACTTTTTGTACTGCCCGAGGATTGTACCACTATTTTTTATTGTTATTTTTTTTTATAAATACAATACCTACTATTCAAAAACAGACACTAACTGCACAAAGGGAAAACTTAAAATGAGCTGAAAATTCTGCCTCAGCTTCCTATTTATACCAGCCGTGGATCTAAAGTAGAAATATAGCTTTGCAATGTAAACTTGGTGAGAAAAAGATCGGTTGAGTCCGAACCTGAGCTTTAGCTTCGGGCCCAGCGATTTGGCCAACAGCAAAGCTGTGAAAGCTCAGCTTACAAATTAAAAGATACAACTTTTCAGTTATAAAGATAGGTTTTGTAGACAGTGACTAAGTGTTTACTTCGAACTAGATTCGAAATGGCAGGTCAATTAGAATTTGAATTTACTAAATAAATAAAGTTGCTTGGAAATTATATTTTGCTAATAAAAGTCAGCTCTTCAATGAAAGAATTGGGTTACAGATCGATTTCGGTTGCTTACATATCTATATGTATTTAGGTATACGATATAAAGCGTTATATTGATTAAACTAGAAGGCTATTTGTTGATAGGAAAATTCTCCTAAATTTCTTTACATTTTAAATTATGCACTGCCCTATTTAAGGACTCTAATTCATTATATATTGGTGTTTTATGTAATTGATTTAAATTAATTTTAAATATTCGATGTCTCAATTCAACGATGTCTCAATGCAATACTGTAAATTTAGAAACACTTGTTATGGTCGACCTTTACTGGTAGCTTTAATAGTTTCCTGAATCATAAGACGATTTGTTAGTGTTGATCGCATACCTTTGTACTTTTTATTCCACGTAAATAGCAATGGATTTGAAATCTATCAGAAAAGTTTTTAATGGTATGCTACGAAATATTGTAAGTGAATGTGTTTAGGTTTAAAGAGTTTCTTAGCATACTTTTGACTGCCTTTTAAATTGATTTCTTATTTGGTTAGCATGACTTTAAAATTCGCGTTAAAAAACTTGAATAACTCTATTCCTTAAAACTTATTTACTATTTATTTGAAGCTCGAATTTAATATAACCGAATCAAAAAAATATATACGATATATCGGAATCTTAAATCTTTCTAAAATGTCAAATAATAATTTGGCTGTGACACGTGGCAGTCATTTCGGAAAATGGGAGCAGAGCAGTCAGCCTTGTTGGCCTGCACACAGACGGGAAAGCCTGAAAATTTTCTGGAGCTGACCAATGCAGAGCAATTCTTTAGTTTGCAATTTGAAAAGATGCCCAAGCCGGCGACTGGTCCGGTTACTGAAGCTCTTCTTTACTTGGTGGAGAACCTGCCCGAGGCAAAGGATAGTAAGTTACCCAGCATACAACATAATCATTTCATTTCAATCAACATTCACCAGTAACCCTTGAGAACGCTGAGCAAGATTTGCATTTACCCCCAGATGAAAATGGAGAATTGGAGTTTAGCGATGGTGGGGAAAGCGGCTTCCATTCGGACTTTACCTGTTCAACAGAGTGAGGCGAGAACATTTCCAAACCCCTTAATCTTTCCACGAATAACAAATAAAATAATTTAACATTTATGATTTTATGTACACGAGACTATTGCAATATTTGTTTGGGTGCTACTTAAAGTTTACCTTCTTCAGACGAAGGGATTTGATGGGTCTAACGATGCTCCTCCGCTCTTCGCGATGTTTTTTCAGTGCTGCCTCGCGTTTTTTGGCATGGAACTGTGACTTCTTTTGCTTATTCACCTCGAATGTCATTTGACGATTGCCAAGTGACCTTCCCACATTGGTCACCTGCCCCTCCAGCTGAGACATTACGCGTACACGATCCTGAAGGCTGGCCTGCTTGATGCGCTGCTGCATCGCACTGCCGCTTTGATGCTTGTCCAGGGCCGTCATGGTGAAGCGGTTGATCGTGCCATTTGTTGGAGGAGGAGCCCTACTGTGTCCATTGGTCAGAGGTCTTGTTCCACTTCCTGGCGTCTCTTCATGTTGCTTATGGTCTCCATTCTCTTCCAACTCCTCGTCTTCTTCTTCGTCGCGAGTTCGCTTTACCTGCTTGTAGGCCTGCTTCATTTCCTTCACGTACTCCCTTCTGTCGTCATCGTCGGAGGAGGCATCGTCAGCACTGTCCTCGCTCTTCTCGCCGTCGCTCTTCTCGAAGCCAAACAGATCCTCATCATTGTCGCTTTCTTCTCTCGGCTGGGCCTCGTCAGCATGCAACTCGGCCACGCGGGCCACCTCCACACGTTTCTTCAGCTCCTTGGCCTTGGATTTATCGAGACGATTGAGAACCGGAGCCAGGAGACGATACTCCTCAGCCTCTTTATTAACTGCAAAGTCAGCGTTCTCGAACATGGCCTTGAAACGGGTATCCTCCAGAAGATTGGGAACATTGCGTTGCTTGGCACTGTTGGAGGGATTCGCTTGTTCGTCCATGATTTTGAGGGCCAATTCCTTGTTGACCTTGGGCAGCTTGGACTCAATTTGTAGCCGCGACTTTCGCTCACTCTCGATCTCCTGCCGGATCTTGTCCTTGCGGAAACGATCGAAGGCAAAGGGTTCCACCACTGCCTTGGCTTTGTTGTATAACCGAGCGTCCATAAAGTATCCGTGCATGTAACCCTTCAGCAGATTGCTGCCAACAAGATGTTCCATTCCCAGTTCTGCCAGCTCCTTAGCCGTAACGAACTGGTAGTCATCGTAGACATTCTCCACCACCTCCGACTCGATCTCCTCGGTGAGATTATCAAGGAAGGAGCACCAGCGCGGTGCTGGGCCCATGGCTGGCACGTAGTACGTCAGCATATTCACGTCCTCCTGGGCCAAGAAGAACATGCCCGTGTCGGGGATGGTGCAGAAATCGTTGAAGGATGTCGTGGACTCAACGTAGGCAATCTGCTTGCCCGTCTGCTCATCCCACAGCTTCAACGTGGCCTCGTCCAAGCTATAGACGGCATTTTGGGAAGGATTAAAAGCCAGTCGCTTGATGGGCAGTCGATTTAGATGATTCTTCACCAGCAGCGGCTGCTTGGCACGGATGTCGTAGATCAGAACATGACCCGAGGCTGTACCCACGCCCATATGCAGACCATTACGGAATTTCAGAGCTGTGACCGAGGGAAAGTCCTTTACGCCAGGCAGCTTCATGGCGACATCTAGCGTGGAACAGCGTTGCTTAGTTCGGGGATCCCAGGCTTCCACTGTGCCCTCCTTGGTGCCGGCCACCAGAAGATGATGCTCTGGGTTCACATCGCAAGCGTTTAGGCAGCTGGCGTCCGTTTCGAAAGGCTGAAGGAACTGTCCCCTCTCCAAATTAAGCCGGTAAATATCCTGAAAGTTGAATTGTTTAGTGTTTGATCTCCTTTACATCGTTTGAGTCTATATTTACCCTGCCCACTCCCACGATGAACATGTCGCAGCTGGGCTTGTGGTACTTCATGTCGCGCCCGAAGCGCGGTATCCTCAGTCTGTAGTGGCGACCGTGGGCGGCGTGTATTTCCACGTAGCGATCGCACTGCAGGAAGACCATCTTGCTGTAGTCGTCGCTTATCACCTCAAACGTGGTCACCTCGGAGTCGAAGCAGCGCTCAAACTTGATGGACAGATTAGAAACCTCGAAGCACTTGACGCGCGGCTTGTACGTGCCCGTGGCCAGGATGTACTGATGGTCGGGGCTCATGCGGATGCTAGTGCATACGCCGGGCATATCAAAGTCCTGTATCAGCTCGATCTGGCGCCGCGAGTCCACCTTTTTCTTCAGCTGCGACCGCTTTCGTCGGTCAGTGAGCCACTGGAGGGGAAATTTATCTTGGTTAAAGGGCGTTACAGGACGACTCTGGCTGCTGTTACTCACATCCGGCACCGACTTGCCGGCGCTCAGGTTGTAGATCTTCACATCGTTGACCTCGTTAACAAACATCTTGGCCGCAATAAGTTAAATATTACAGCATAAACAAAAACGAACAGCGCACGTGCGCCTAGAGTAAAAAGATCTGGTCACACTGATTCACAGCTGTTTGTTTACAAAGACAGTGCAGGCACCATACCGATAGTTTTCCAGAGCGGCCTCTTTAGCCATTTTGTGGCTAAAATTAATTAGCCATATTTATACCTTTACAGGGTATTATAATTTTAATTAGAAGATTGCAACACAGTGTAGGATTCATTTACGACCCTATATAGAATCTAAAGCCGATTCGATCTAGCCCCGGCCCACCTGTCGGTTTCTTCGCAAACTAGTCCATCCGCGTTAAAACTATATGAATGAATCTCTACAGATAGTTTTCCAATTTAGCATTTTAAAGATGATTTTAAATTATAATTTTGTAATTTCAATTTCCCTTGTAAGTTTTTTTCATTTAAACATATATTAAATTCCACGGGGCATAATTAATTTTTTGCTTGAAAAATAGCTATAAAATCTCTTCAAGTGAAAATATCGATATATCGATGCAGTTAAAAAAAACATTGGTTGAATCGATAGAACCATCGATGTGTTTTCATCTCTGAGAAATATCAACAAAGTCGCAATTTTTTGCCAATTACAAATAATTGCAAAAAAACTGTCTTGTTGGTGTCCTTCCACAACTCCAGTGCGTGTGACTGCACAGGATTACGTTGCTGCTATCCAGATTTCAAGCTTTTTGCAGGCCCGCCCCTCGTCAAACAACAATAAACACACACACAAAGCCACCACACACACCCCCGCTCTTCGTAACAGCCCTACATTCCATTCCTTCCGCTCCACTCCCCGAGGAACCAAAACGGTGAGTAATATTCGCCGTTTGCTGCTGCGTCTAAGCCAATTAAAGGCGCTGCGCTTATGATTAAATTATACGAAACGGAAGACTATGTGCAAGGGCGACACTCTGCAGCCCCACCAAACTTTCCCTTGCTTTGAAAGTGTACATACTCTCTCTCTCTCGAGATGTTTTTGCTCTAGTTGTTTTTGTTGTTGTACTGCCCCATTCCATTGTTGTGTACACCCCTTAAATATTTTTTTTTCGCCCAGGGTGCGTTTGTGTTATTATAACGCAATGAATTACACTTCCACTCCATTCAGCGCAATTTATAAATAATTGTATGTACATATGTATGTATTACTCAAAGATTCCGCCTCCAATGATTACTGCAATGATGTGTGGCCTTTGGCGCTTGACTGATAAGAGTAGAGACCGAGACCAGTAGGGTGCCGGGAAGTCTGTATATTTAAAATTGATAATTACCTTGCCTTGAAATGATTTAGGGAATAAAGAGAGAGATTAATTAATTTAAAATTAACATAAAAACAATACAGGAGTGCCACAAAAATTACTTTCAATTTAAAATCGATGGCATTTTTCCTTAAAAGCTTTCAATTATGTTAATTAGGTCACAAAATATAATGTTACTTTTTTAACATACTCCTCCAGAACTCCTAAGTGAAAGAAGTTTTGTTTATATAATAAAATTATAAAAATTAAACTTAAAGGGAAGTTTTATTAATCTCCCAAAAATATATTAGAACTACTTGTTAGCTTAAGATAAATAAATAAATAAATATTAGCGCTTTTTTATGCAAGACACTAGAAGTTAATATTATGAATGAATAAATACTTTGAAGGAGTTTATTTAAATGCAATATCTGAGAGCCCGTTCGCACTGACTTATTTAGTTCCCACAACTACGCCACGACGGCCTTGAGAATAATTCGCTTTGACTTTATTGAAGTGCTCACTTGAGGTCTCCCCGAATGCGGGCCGATATATCAAAGGCTTCAAGACGATACTGACACTCTGAAAGACTCAAAATCAAGTGGCGTATGGAAGTTCCAGCCTGGAGGGTTTTTACAGCCACTTTTGAAGCTCAAGTTGGCTCTCTTTTGTGAGTTGTGTGAGCAAATAAACAAACCCGGTCGGCTGTTCAAATACAAGCATGCCTTAAAAAACGAAATATCGGGGGCAACTCAAAGAAAGGGGGAACAAAATGTTGTGTAGCCGTCGCAGAACAAATTAATGCAGCGCCGCAGTTTGTTGATAAGCGAGCAGCGCCGTGTGGGTTCGCACCTGAGGCATATAGTTATAGGAAACCACTTGCTTGGGTCGGAGTTCGTACTGGCGAAGGATCTGAGCCTAAAGTCAAGATGAGCAAAGTGTGGAGTGTGGTGAACAAGATGCACGAACGCATCGACTACCTTATAGAAAAATGTGGATTGAGTGGAATTCTGCATTTTGCAATTCAGTAATCAGTTTCGTTTGTTTTTAAAGGTCCCAACATGACTGCTGCGCCGTACAACTACAACTATATCTTCAAATACATCATCATTGGTGACATGGGCGTGGGAAAGTCCTGCCTGCTGCACCAGTTCACCGAAAAGAAATGTGAGCATGTCCATCTGCCGTGGAGGCATTTACATTAACTTGCCTTTTCTCTTCTTCAAAAGTCATGGCAAACTGCCCGCACACGATCGGCGTGGAGTTTGGCACACGCATCATCGAGGTAGACGACAAGAAGATCAAGCTACAGATATGGGACACGGCGGGCCAGGAAAGATTCCGCGCCGTCACACGGTCATATTACAGAGGAGCAGCCGGTGCCCTCATGGTCTATGACATCACCAGACGGTAGGCACTATAAAACTTCACATATACCTTGAAACTCTAAATGGTATTCTTGTTAACCAATCCAGATCGACGTACAATCACCTGAGCAGCTGGCTCACCGACACGCGCAATCTCACCAACCCCAGCACTGTGATCTTTCTCATTGGTAACAAGTCGGATTTGGAAAGCACTCGCGAGGTTACCTACGAGGAGGCCAAGGAGTTTGCCGACGAGAACGGTCTGATGTTTCTCGAAGCGAGTGCAATGACGTGAGTAAAGATTACAGCACTTCCCTCAATTAGTATTGCAACATTTTGATAACGGAGTTAACGTATAATAACTTTTCCAAGAATGTTTGAAATTTGACGCAACCCAAGCACTTTTAACCTACATTTGAAAAACTATTTAACGTAATTTTTTAATCATAACTTATCCTTAACAGTGGCCAGAACGTGGAGGAGGCATTTCTTGAGACAGCAAGAAAGATCTATCAGAACATCCAGGAGGGACGACTCGATCTAAATGCCTCCGAGTCCGGAGTGCAGCACCGACCTTCGCAGCCGTCACGGACTTCGCTGAGCAGCGAGGCCACGGGTGTCAAGGATCAGTGCTCGTGCTAAATGGATGCGATGCACCTTTACCCTTACAAAACAGCCCTAGATATAGAGATCTATTTTTATTTTTTAGCCGACTCGTAATTTACTGGCCCAAAAGCAAAAACCAATGTATGTAGTTGAATGATTCGATTAAGCATAAAAAGTGTGTGAGCGAGCAAACAGCAAAAACTAAAACCAAAATATAAAAAGCCCTCCCCGATAATAAGAAAATACACAAAAACCAAACAACTTCAACATTTCTATTAACGAGTAAGCATAAATATTAGAAAATTGAGAATGTTTGTTGGTTATCGCGATTATTTTTTACGCATCGTTAAAAGAGCCACCAAAGTCTTGACTATGAAATTTCGAAAAGTTTATCGCTATATTCGCCCCCAACTCACTTGACCCAAACTTAACATTCGGCAGATCGCGGATTCTGTTAGTTATATCTCTGTATATATATATATACATATATGCATATAAATATATACTTATATATAAATGAATATTTGACTCTCCTTTTATTAATTATAAATATTTTTGTTGAGTATTTGTTGTAGACGCGTGCGAGAAGGCGAGAAACCGATCAATGTTATATGAATATAAACAATGTATTAATGGCATAATGCAATAGGAAATAAATAAAACCGGTATTTATAAAGACCCTACCAATATATGTGCATGTTTTTATTTAAGAACCGGTAACTACAAACATCTGAACGAAGAATGGAAACTAACTATATCTATACTACACGTTTTACGCCTTCTGCAGGGGGAGTACATTTATAAAAAAATGTTTAATATTTCGTAACTTAAATTATATTCTTTCTTATTTCTTTTTGCGAAGATACATATGTAAACAAAATAATAGGTGTGAAATATTTTTTTTAATTGTCTTATTTTTATATTATTAATTAAAAAAAAAAAGAGTAAAACCAGCTTCACAAACAGATATTAAAAAATAAAGCAAATATTTCATAAAATGCGTTAAAATTGGTAACCTAGATAACTAGGTGAAAAATGTTATTCGATATTCTAATAGTTATTGTCTTGTTTTATATTAAATTGACTTTATACCTGTAATTAACCTGATCTTCAACCAAATTATTATCTTAATTGTAATAGGTTTTATGTGAAACAATAAACCCATAATAATAATTTAATGAATTGCTGTTGCTGTTGGTTAAATATTTAAATTTATTTATCTAATTTTTTTTAATTTTTACTTGTTTTAATCACTTATGAAGACCATATTTTAAATCCAACAGGTTCAATTTCCCTATTTGAATTCAATTCACTCGTTCTTATTTTTTCCAATTCGCGCAGTGTACCGTTTTCCAGTGTGCCAGTCGGCTGGGTGTGAATGTCCGCGCTGCCGGGCGAATGGCCGTGGTATGCATGCCATTCGCCCGGTAACGCGGACACATCTGGCCATTCGCCCCGGCACCGCGGACACAGCTGGCCATTCGCCCGACAACGCGGACACAGCTGGCCTGCATACCACGACCATTCGCCCGACAACGCGGTATGCAAATTGAAACTAATTTATTCACCCACCATGAAAGTGACGAAATAGCGACTAAAAGCGCAACGTAAGCGAATCTCGGACCCATGATGCAAATCAAGCGCCTCCTGTGCAAGTCCTGCGGCCTGGGCACGCTGCTGGTGGCCGTCGTCTGGCTGCTGGCGCTCCTCTTTTACTCGCACATCCTGGGGAGATCCATCCAATCTGCGGGCTGGCGGATTGACCGAAACGCCACCCCACGGGCGGAACTGAGCTACTCGGCCAGGGTCACGACCAGATGTACGCCAATCGCCGCCCAGAACTCCTCGGCGCCCAAGGCTGGCCCGGGGGAGAGTGAGCCCGAGCAACTGGAGCTGTTGGGAGTGGTGCGCAACAAGCAGGACAAGTATATCCGGGACATTGGCTACAAGCACCACGCCTTCAACGCTCTGGTTTCGAATAACATTGGGCTCTATCGGGAGATTCCCGACACCCGCCACAAGGTGTGCCAAAGAGAGGAGACTTCTGAGACGGAGCAACTGCCGCAGGCCTCGGTGGTCATGTGCTTTTACAACGAGCACAAAATGACTCTGATGCGGTCCATCAAGACTGTTCTGGAGCGCACGCCCAGCCACCTCTTGAGGGAGATTATCCTGGTGGACGATCACAGCGATCTTCCAGAGTTGGAGTTCCATTTGCATGGAGATCTGCGTGCCCGCTTGAAGTACGACAACCTGCGATACATCAAGAATGAGCAACGCGAGGGTCTCATCCGCTCTCGGGTAATCGGAGCCCGAGAGGCTGTCGGGGATGTCCTCGTTTTCCTGGACTCGCACATCGAGGTGAACCAGCAGTGGCTGGAGCCGCTGCTGCGCCTCATTCAGGCGGAGAATGCTACGCTGGCCGTCCCAGTCATCGACCTGATCAATGCGGACACCTTTGAGTACACGCCCAGTCCCCTGGTCCGGGGAGGATTCAACTGGGGTCTGCACTTCCGGTGGGAGAACCTGCCGGAGGGCACCCTTAAGGTACCGGAGGACTTTCGCGGTCCCTTTCGATCGCCCACCATGGCCGGTGGTCTGTTTGCGGTGAACAGGAAATACTTCCAGCACCTCGGCGAGTACGACATGGCCATGGACATCTGGGGTGGCGAGAACATCGAGATCTCCTTCCGGGCCTGGCAGTGTGGCGGCGCCATCAAGATCGTTCCCTGCTCCCGCGTGGGTCACATATTCCGGAAACGCCGTCCGTACACCTCACCCGATGGGGCCAACACCATGCTGAAGAACTCGCTTCGCCTCTCGCACGTCTGGATGGATCAGTACAAGGAGTACTACATCAAGCACGAAAAGGTGCCCAAGGACTTTGATTACGGGGACATAAGCGACCGTGTAAATCTGCGAAAGCGTCTGCAATGCCACGACTTTGCTTGGTACTTGAAAAACGTCTACCCTGAGCTGCATGTGCCAGGCGAGGAATCAGCGAAGAAGTCGGCGCCAGCGCCTGTCTTTCAGCCATGGCACTCGCGGAAGCGCAACTACGTCGACTCCTACCAGATGCGTCTGGCAGAAACGGAACTCTGCGCCGCCGTGGTGGCACCCAAGGTGAAGGGCTTCTGGAAGAAGGGCAGCTCCCTGCAGCTCCAGCCCTGCCGGAGAACCCCCAACCAGTTGTGGTACGAGACGGAGAAGGCTGAAATCGTGCTGGACAAGCTGCTCTGCCTGGAGGCCTCGGGCGACGCCCAAGTAACGGTCAACAAGTGCCACGAGATGCTCGGGGATCAGCAGTGGAGGCACACCCGCAACTCCAACAGTCCCGTCTACAACATGGCCAAGGGCACCTGTCTCAGGGCCGCGGCTCCGGCAGTGGGCGCCCTCATCAGCCTGGATCTGTGCTCCAAGTCCAGTGGATCTGGTGGTGCCTGGGACATTGTGCAGCTCAAGAAGACGGGCGAGGAGAAGGCGGATAAATCGAACAAAGCGGACAAGGCTCTGTGACTGGAGGAGGACTGCCCTGCGAGCATGTTGCAATATTAGACTGATAACTTTTTAGGTGCACAGCGTATTATGTTTAAATAGCCAGTATTTTTTGCATGAACTATATTAATAAAGTAACAAAGTGTAATTTCTGATGTGTGTTTGTTATAATATAAATGTTTGTGTCAAAAGACGCAGCAGCGACAAAAGTTGATGCGATTTTAAACGGTTTTAACGGTTTTTTATAGTATTAAAAGTGTTTTATAGTATTTTAATGAATTCCATAGAGTACTTGGTATATCTAGTATATTTTAAGGAGAATGGTATTTTACAGAGCACCTATAACAGCCACACTAAGTTTGTGGCAAAAACAGGCGCCAAATTGTGTGATTTTTATAAAAAGAAATAGCAAAACCAACTAACCATGCAGGCCAAAGCAACTGACAGTCGGCAGGAGCCGAGGCTCAACATGGGTAAGTTAATTATATCCTAATATTATTATAAATAAACCAAGAGAAACGTCTGTTTTGTAGATATAAATGCGCGTCGCAATTTCATCAAGTTCCATGCCAGGCTTGGCGAGGTAAGTAAGCGACTCCTTTAATACCCGGCTTAAATGCATCGCATCCCTTCCAGAAACCCAGCACCACAGTGCGTTTCTTTGACCACTCCGACTCCTACACGGTCCACGGCAGCGATGACTGCGAGCTGGTGGCCAAGATTGTGTACAAATCGACGGCCTTCATTGGCGTCCTGCTGCCGGACGATAAGAAGGAAACGCTCCAGTTCGTGTCCATGTCCAAGAACAACTTCGAGGTGGCTGTGCGTGAGCTGCTTCTGGTGCGGAATCTGCGCGTCGAGGTCTACGTGAAAAAGTCCAGCGACTGGGAGATAGAATATCGCGGCTCGCCGGGCAACCTGTTGCAGTTTGAGGACATACTGTTTGCCAACAAGGAGGTGCTGGTGGGCAATAGCATCATCTCTTTGCTCGTCAAGCTGGAGGGCGGTGCCCAGCGACGGGTAGGCGTGGCCAGCGTGGAGCAGAACGATTGCAAGTTTCAGCTGCTCGAGTTCCTGGACGATGACTTCTTCACGGAGCTGGAGGCCACTGTGGTGCTGCTGGGACCAAAGGAATGTCTGCTGCCCAGCTTGGAGGGTGAATACGCCGCTGTGAAGACCCTGTTGGAGCGGAGTGGCGTTATGATCACGGTGCCTAAGAAGAGTAGCGCCAACGATTTGTTGCAGGACTTGAACCGACTTTTGCGCTTCGCCAAGGGTCAGCAGGAGGACGCCTCGGGACTGAAGGAACTTCAGTTGCAATTGGCCTCGGATGCCCTGAAGACGGCCATTAAGTACCTGGATCTGGTCAACGATGCCGGCAACCTGGGGCACTATGAGATCAAGAAACTCGATCTCAAGCGGTGGGTACCCCTGCAATGCTCAAATCTAAGAACATGTATAAATTATGACTTTCCATTTAATTACAGTTTCGTCCACTTGGACTCTGCTGCCGTGGCAGCGCTGAACATTATGCCCAAGCCGGGCACACATCCATCCATGCCCTCATATCGCTGGCAGAGCATTCTCGGCGTACTTGACCATTGCCGCACGCCCCAAGGACATCGCTTGATGGGCCAGTGGGTGAAGCAGCCGCTGCGCAACCGGGAGATCCTCAACGATCGCCACAATATAGTGGCTTGTCTACTGGAATCACCGGACACGTTGGAGACGCTTAGCCTGGACTATCTGAAGCGCATTCCGGATATTTTGATGCTGACCAAAAAGCTGATGCGACGCAAGGCAACGCTTCAGGATCTGTTCCGCATCTACCAGGTTATTTTGCGAACGCCTAAGATCTTAAAACTCTTGCTCGACCTGGAAAACTCCACTGTAGAGAGTGTGATCTGTGCCCCCTTTAAAAGCTTCCTGGAGGATCTAACTGGTCTCAAGCAGATGGTTGAACAGGTGGTTGATTTTGAGGCCATCGACAGGGGCGAGTACCTGGTGAAGGCTTCGTTTGACAATCGATTGATGGAGCTGCAGCAGACGATGACGGAGCTGTATGCCAAAATGGAGCGTTTGCAGACCAAGTGTAGTGAGGAGCTAGATCTGGATGGCAAGCAGCAGGTGAAGCTAGAAAATGTGGCAAAACTGGGCCATCATTTCCGCATCACCTTGAAGGATGATTCCGTGCTGCGCAAAAACAAAAACTATCGCATTGTGGATGTCATTAAGGGCGGCGTGCGCTTCACCTCCGATAAGTTGGAGGGCTATGCCGAGGAGTTTGCCAGTTGTAGGAGCCGATACGAGGAACAGCAGCTGTCTATTGTGGAAGAGATCATCCAGGTGGCCGTTGGATATGCGGCTCCACTCACATCGCTGAACAATGAGTTGGCCCAACTGGATTGTTTGGTCAGCTTTGCCATCGCCGCACGCAGTGCACCCACACCTTATGTGAAACCAAAGATGTTGGATGAAGGCGCAGGCGAGTTGGTTCTCCAGGATGTGCGTCATCCCTGCTTGGAGCTGCAAGAGCATGTTAGCTTTATAGCCAACAGTGTGGACTTTAAAAAGGGTATGTTGGGGTTAAGTTAAAAAGATATATATTAAGATTATATACATTTTTATTTCTGATTCAGACAAGTGCAACATGTTCATTATAACGGGTCCAAACATGGGCGGCAAGAGCACCTACATTCGTTCCGTGGGCACAGCTGTCCTAATGGCCCACGTCGGCGCTTTTGTGCCCTGCAGTATGGCCTCCATAAGCATGGTGGACTCCATTCTAGGCCGAGTGGGAGCCAGCGATAATATAATCAAGGGTCTCAGCACATTCATGGTTGAGATGATTGAAACGTCTGGTATAATTAGGGTAAGTTACTGGTAAATATAAATAGAAAATTCATTTATTAACAATTTTTTTTCCCCCTTTGCAGACTGCCACAGATAAATCCTTGGTGATTATCGATGAACTGGGCCGTGGTACTTCCACCTACGAGGGCTGTGGCATTGCCTGGTCCATTGCCGAGCATTTGGCCAAGGAGACCAAGTGCTTTACTTTGTTTGCCACACATTTCCATGAGATTACCAAGCTGGCAGAGTCGCTGGCCACAGTTAAGAATTGCCATATGGCTGCGGTTGCGGATTCCGATAACTTTACGCTGCTCTACCAGGTGCGACCAGGGGTCATGGAGAAGAGCTTTGGCATTCAGGTGGCTCGATTAGCCAGCTTTCCCGACCATGTGGTCCAAAACGCCCAGGAAGTGTACAACGAGTTTGAAGACGAGCATGTGGACAAGCAGAAAAAGGAGGACAAGGCTCTCCTGGAGAAGATTCAAGTGGCCATTGAGCAGCTATCGACCGCCGGCAACAATACGGATATCAATGTGGAGGACTTGACCCAGCTGGTCACACAGTTTACGAAAGACATCAAGAAACTTGATAGCGATTACTTTAAATCTGTGCTGGCTACCAGCGAGGCATAAAAAAGAAGTCTGTGTGTTTTTTTTTTTCGTTTAACTGTCAGTATTACTTTAAGAGGCAAGAACGATATATTTTAGAATTTCCTGCATTTTGTTTATTTTCTTTGCATTTTAAACTTTATGTAACTAAAAAAGTGTGAAATGAAACGTTAAATTCTATTATCACCTATGGATTTTCCATTTAAAAGCAAAAGCAGGGAGTTTTGTAAAATGTGTTACTACCTTAAATATATACCTCATACAGGGCTGAGCTTAAAATATATGTTCCACATGTGGCTTTTTTAAATATTCTTTAAAATTTAATTTTAATTTTTTGTCTACACATAAAAATATTGGTTTTATGTTCGATTTCTAGGCAACGCTTTTCCTAAATAATAATATTAAAAAAACAGGGGATCTTGTGAACAAAAATATATTTAATAAAAAGCAAGTACTAATGTTCTAATTAATTTGTTGTGCGGCTTGCTTTTGTATACATTTTGAAAAGGCTAATTGAAAACCTGGCATTATGTGTGTCACTAATAGAATTATTTATTCGGCTCCAAACACATTTTTTTAAGACAGCGTGAAAAACAAAATACTGCCCTGACACCGCTGTCAATTTAATCGTTCTGGTTTTAACCTCAGCTGTCATGTGCGCTAAAGCGCCGCTTTTATCGTCCCGTTGGCCCGATCTTTAGCTTCGACTGTCATTGCCAAATTCAACTTAAGTGCTGTCAAAAGATAATTACCGTTTCGGCTTTGATTTTTCTTTCCTTTTTTTTAAGTTTCAGGCAGCTGAACGACAGCAGCGCTGCAAAATGCCTAAACCAGTTTTTTATTCGGCTGCCTTGTCTGGTGCAATTCCATAATATGGTTAAAATAGTCGATTATTGACATCACTTTTGCGAGCTAAAAATTAAGAAATTAATTAAAAGTTATTGATGTTGTTTAAATGTTTAAATTGCTATGACTATCTCGAATCAATTGCAATTTTCCAATTTTCTATGCCATTTAAATCTCGGAATAGGTAAGAAACTTCATCAAATTAGCCTATAAAATTTGATAGTTTTAAGTAATATAAATTAACAAGTATTTCAATCATGTCTAAAGTTTTAATTTATCTTAATTTAATTCCCTAAACCCCACACTTTAGTGTGTAATATTAAAATTTAGTTAACTGCAGCTCTGCGCAAGTTTAATTTGATATCACATACTCAACAAACATGGCATGTTAGCAGCGCTTAACAGCCTCCAAAATTGACAGGCAACTTTAAATATATTGCATTTGCCGATAGTTCGGCATGCTTGTCTGCCACGATTAGTGGCAACCAGGCAAACCCAAAGAGGCTGGCTCCCGTCCAGCACCCAGCTCACGGCCCGGACCTCAAGCCAAAGCTCCTTTAACAGCCAACTTCATTTGGGTGAATGGGGCGAAGACGGCCGATGCGCCGCAACGCGACGTGTACAATTATTAATTTGATACGATATAATTGACATGTTGGCGATGCCAAAAAGGAAGCACTAACATGCAGACAACAGCAACAGCAGCATCGGCACTGGACAAGGTGAAGCCTCGTAACGTGGCTAACCAGCTAAGCCATTCCGACGCATATTAACGCCGTGACTTACAGCCAAGGACTGATCCGGGTTAGATATGACACTTGATAAGCACGAACTTTTGCATTTCCTC